GAGGTTTATTTAATATCTCCATTTAAAAAATTATTTATTTAATAACCACATAATTAGAAGAAACATTTCATTACAACATCATTGACATATTCAATAACAATTTCCAGAACTAAGATGTATCTCTTTCAAAATTGGCTGTAAATTTTTAGGTTCACATTGAATTAATATAGTTACACAACATTGTATTCAGTATAAATCCTATAAGACATAAAACCGAATGATGTTTTACCCTTTAAAAAAGATCTCCATTTCATTTTAAAATATACTGTTTCATAGAAAAAAACTCATTTTTAAAGCAACTAACATTTAGATGTTTGCACATATGTGTCTAATTTCTATATATCTGATTATTACTGGTAGCAGTTGGTTAATTTCTGAGATCCTTGGCACCTGAGCATGGATATAATGTCATCAGGTAGATTTCAATGGTAATGTTTTTCACATTTACTAATTAACATGAAGCAAATTTTTATGCTTCTTCCTCAAATATAACTCATTTTTAAAATTTATTGATATTTTTGTGTGTGTATTTCATACAGAACAACTCAAACACTCTTATTCATCTATATACCCACATCCCAAGTGGCACCCTCCCATAGCCCCCCTCCCCAATGGAGCCCATATACTCTGTCATCCCTGTTACTGTCCACTGTGTTGTCAGTGCCCCCAGCCATTCCCCAGTCCTAAGCCATCCACTGAATCTAGTCAGCTTATCTAGAGTTCCTTGTGGAAGATCAGCTCTTACTCATCTAGCAGCAAGCAGTTGCCAATATTTCTTTAGATGAGATTGGGGTCTGCTGTTCATTTTATCAACTCTATGTTCTGGGGCCACCCTGGCCAACAACTCAAAGGAAGGAATATCCATCTGGCATTGTTTCTTGTTATACAGCCTTTAGCTATATATATGGAATCTTAAAGAAGCTTTATATGGTAATTAAAGTACCAGACTGGTGGAACTAAGCTTCCTGGATGTTTAACAGCCATACTTTGAGGCCTGTACTACTTTGGTCAGAGGGCCTTTAAGGACAGTTTTTGCTCCTTGTCCTCATAGGTCGACTAAGTTCCAGGGGACTATGAAGCATCTCTCAAAATGTCCTGTAACTGTGGTGAGTCACCTGTCCTCTTAATCAAGGAGGCCATGAAGCCCCACCAGATGGACTTGAACTAGTGTCCAGTCTATAAAGAGGAGGGTCAACACACAGGAAACATTTCCTCCATATTTCCAAGTGAATCCAGCCACGGTCAAGGAGAACCTTTGATTTATCTTACATAGATGGAACTGGTAAAAGAAAGGAGCCAGGAGCTCCTCCTAAGACCATGTGATCCCTGAGGAACAGATCCTCAAATGGCCTTAAGAGTGAAAATAAATTGGTTTATCTAGGCCAACTGCATGGTCTTAAACTCCCAAAAGGAAAGTATAACCAAAGATTAAAAGGATCAATATCTCCATTTTTACCTCCAACCATGAGTGGTATTTTCTGGTCCCTCTACCTCAGTCCAGGTACTGTCACCTTTTCCAGGGAATAATATGCAGACTGAGGCCAGTGTAGGAGAGCTGGACTAGAAAAGAGGTCTGGAGATCCAAGTCCTTTTTGAGCAGATGCACAAATCAGTATTTACTCTGTCTGGAGGGGCTCAACACTGCCAATCCCTACATATGTTGGTGGTTATATATATAAACCAAGCTACTTCTCTGACTTCACACTGCCAGTCTATGAGTCCTTTTTCTTGGAATGGCTGTATTAGACATTTTTCATCCATCTGACTTCCACAATATTTTTCAGTTTTATTCTTTGTTGTATTTTCTGTTCTCACACCTGTCCTCTGGATTTATGACTTCTTCAGAAATATTCCTGCCTCTGCCGTTAGTTAGGTTGTATCAGGATACCAAGCCATGGAGCCAAGGTGTAAGCTTTCTTTCCTTTTCAATCTACCATCTTTAATGAGAAATTCATCATTTGGGTTTGTGTTGTTATGAAATCTATTTTTAGAATATCATCAGGCTTATTTATATGTACTAGTCACTGTATCAAATTTATCTCTTATTTTTTTCCCAGTACTGGGGATTAAACTCAGTGCCTAGGCAAGTAAGTGGCCAGTCACTGAGTTCTATCCAGAATACTCCTCCCACCCCTATTTTAAGATTAAAAAAATTACAATTTATGTGTATGTGTGTTTGTATACATATATATATGTATACACACATTGTGGTACTTGCAGAGGACAGAAGAAGGTGTTGGAACCCCTGGAGCTGGAGTTATAGGCAGTTGTGAGTTTCCAGATATGGGTACTCAACTGTCCTCTGGAAGAACAGCAAGCACTTTTAAGTGCTGAGCCATCTCGTCAACCCCTAACCCTTACTTTTGAGACAGTCTTGCTAAATTGCACAGGCTGACCTTGTGTTCATGATATCTCACACTTGAAGTCTTCTCTCTTAGTCTCTGAAGTATCTGGGATTACAAGATTGTACCTCCATGCCTCAGGTGAGATTGTTTTTAGTTCCACATCCTAAGTTTATTAGCTATTCATATTCTTTCTACATTTTAACATAAGTAGCTAAGGAAGATAATTTGGAAGAATTCTTATAGTAGTCCTAAATTATATTTTCCCCTAAAAATTATTAATCTAAACTGGTGTACATACTCACTTAAAATTTCTCTTTTTGAGGTCACAACCCCTTCATCATATCTAGCTTTCCATAGGAAAAAAATAAATCTTAAAATATTTACACCAACACTACAAACACCTAGAGGGAATATTATGTGAGCACCCCAAATCTAAGCCAGTTAATTTAAATTTGTTGTTCTCAGTACACCAAACAGATAAGAGATTGCAGTGTTTATCTTTAGAGATATTATTCAGAGGATAGACATGGAAGAGAAAGAGAGAAATGAACACAATATATGATGCAGGCAGGCATTGGTCCCTGGCTCTGCCTGGCCCAACACTACCATGCCATCCCACGTGAGTATCAAGGACTGGGGCATCTAGCACACAGGCCAGGTGGCCTCTGGCTACAGGCTCTGGTTCAGAACCTAGGGTATGAACTACATAGGACAAGCAAAGTGTGAAAGTCTGCTGGGATATCTAAAGAGAGTTTTCATGATCTGAAGAAAACCACAGAAAGAGACATTTTCTCCAATTTCCTTTGAACCTTGGCATGTACAGATGTGAGGCTAAGAAACGCTATGCTCTCAACCTTCCCAGTAGAGGATGAGGCTATGCCATAAAGGGGAACAGTGAGTGAGGCCACTGCCCTCCCGTTAGAGGCTGAGACTGTATCATGAAGGGGGAGAGTAAGGGAGACCATCCAAAGCTTGCCCTACCTGACCTGCAAATATATGAGCATGTAAAGCCATCAATTCATCATTTAAGTCATTTCTAGCAGGACTTTTGTTACTTGTAGCTGAGATCACTGGTACAATAGTCATAATGATGCAGACAGTAATGGATATATGTATCTGTTCAATTGAAAGAGCTCTGCCCGAACAATGGCATAAAAATGTAAATTACACTGATTTTCATTTAAATATTTAAAGGACTCTATACAACCCAAGAGGAAAAACTTAACAATAGCAAAAGCAGATGCAGATCTTTGCAAACACAAAAACTTACTTTTTGAATACTTTGTTTTTTTAAAATATTTTATTTATTATCTATTTTGTTTTTATGTGTATGAGTGTATTGCCTGCATGTGTAAGTGCACCTGTGTTGTTCAATGCTCGCAGAAGTCAGAAGAGGGTGTCAGATTCCTGGGAACTGGAGTTACAGATGGTTGTTAGCTGCCATGTGGGTGCTGGGAATAGAACCCTTGTCCTCTGCAAGAGCATTCAATGTTCTCAACCACCGAGCCATCTCTCCAGTCCCCTTGAATTCATTTTGTAACGAATTAAATCTTGTTTGTAAGTTCAATTCAGTTATGCTTGTAGGACAATGTTCCTTCCTGTGAGTCTATATGTTGGGTAGAGCAATTCTCCAGTGTCAGTTCAGTACTTAGTCACCCCCTTACCACTGATTATTTTGACAATGAAAATTCCTCCCTTGAAAATCTTCGACCTCCAGTTGAAAATCTCTAGTGTAGAAAAATAGATCTCACACACACACACACAGACACACACACACATGCACACCTACCTTTGAGAATTTCTACTTTCAGTATAATTTTTAAAAATCACAGTCTCTAACTTCTGCATATCACAGATAAGGACATGAAATTTAGATTAGCTGTGCTCAAATTGGTGAGTAGCATTTAGTGAAATGTAGATTTACAGAATTTATTGATAAATTCATATGAAATCATTCCAAATCATATAATCACAGAATAGTAGAATTTTGTAAGACAAAATTAATTGATGTGACAGTGGTAGTAGTGGTAGTAAAAGAATATGTACTGTACATTTATTTTCACATTTCTAACTGCTAGTGTCTTTGAAGCTAAAATCAGGGCAACAATAGTATCAAGATGTTTATCTTTTATGTTTGTGTTACTAATATTGATGACTAATCTTTCTTGGAGCACTAGGTTGTAGCTCATGTTGTCACAGAATGTGAATAAAAGCTAACTAATGACTTTGGCAATGTACTGATTAACTATGTTTTACAGGGATAAGTGAAGGGCACAGACAACAGTTGCTAAAAGACTTGAGTCTATTCTAGAATAATTGAGAAAGCCTCCACCATGGAGGTGGGAGTTTCCATGCTTGGTGGATTAGAGAAAAGAATAGACAGCAGAGCTAGTATGGAGTTACAATGCAAAGGGCAAGCACGAGGAACATCGGAATGGATATTGTAGCAGGAAAGGCTAAGGTTCAAGAATGGTGGGAATGAATGACCTCTGGGAAGCAAACAGAATGAACCCTGGATCATGCATTGCAAGTCAGTGGCGGACAACCAGTCATTCCTGAGTGGTGATAAGGCAAGAAGATATAACAAAAATGTATAAGGAATGCTGGTTGAACATGATAGGAAAAACAGATACTTGGATTAAATAGAATATACACCTGAAATGGCTTATCTGATTTTCTAACAGGGAAGAAAGTCTCTCTTTTATCTCCTCAAATCTTTCTTTTTCTTCCATTGAAACAGTCCCAATTCCATCAGGCCTGTGGGGAGAAAAACAGAGTCAGCAATTTGTATTAATAGATTATTTACTTAGTAATATTTCATATACACAAATTTATCCCTAAATCATTTACGTAACTAAGGAAAAAGCAGATTGGCCTGAGTTGTGTTTATAGTGGAAATCTAATGGAAGTGTTTGCATACTTTGACCTAGAATGAATGGAATGGATTTATTCTTTTAGACAGCCTTCAAGGTAAAGGCTGAAAATAAATATTTTCCAGATATACAGAAAACAATAACTAGTCCTTGAAAATGGCAGTGAAAATGTTCTCTAGTGGAATTAAACATTTGGCCAATTAAATGAATAGCACCTGAATGGAACTACTACAAAAATATACTGAATGCAAGGTGAAGCATCTTAATTGCTCCTCTTCCACATACAAATCAACAAAACACGATGCTAGAGATATTTAATTTTAATTTCTTTAAGAAACAAATTTTGGAGAACACTGGCATATACCTACAAGATACAACATATCTAACATACAGTACTTAGAATTAAGTTCGTATCAACTTAAGTCTCTGGTTATTTAGAAGTCACATACAAATTTCAGCATATAAATTTAAACTGTGTTAATAAAGAAGAAGAAAGACATTAATCTTATCTTCATTTTAAACCACTCAGGTGCTTCAATAACAAAATAAATCTTTTGCACTTGATAATTGACCACAGACACATTCCCTATTAGCTTAATTTTTAATGATTATATTTTAATTCCTCAAAATATGCATTTGTTATTCCAAGGTACTAATATTAATGTTTGTGTATAAGATAGTTAGCAACAAGGATTATTAAATGGTTAAAAACACTTTGCAAACAAGGTTTAAATTTGATGTTTCCCATTTTTGTATATACACATATGTATGTGAATACATGAATATATATTTCATACTTGTTAACTTGTCAATTAGGAAAAAAGCAATTAATTTTAAAGTTATACCTGAACCTTATTGACATAATGACCTTCTATTCACATCTAAGCATCATTTAAAGTATGAGGATTTTTTTTCCCAATATACAGTAAATAATTTGTAACCAGAAACTTCCATGCTGTTGGGCAATGTTCTTTGAAAACATTTCTTGCAATCATAATTAATTTCTAAGCAGAGACATATTTGATTTTATATTTAGAAGACTATATCAATTACATTTATTGTATGCACTTTGAATGTTAACTATGGAAAAATCAATGACAAATATGTTTAGGAGGAAGAAAACATCCAATGTGTAAGCTATCGAGCAGTAAACTACATGTTAATGCTAGTATTTTACATTAATAATATATTTTCACATATTGTTACGTTTAAACATTTTTATTTTATGTGTATGAGTTATGGATGGTTGTTAGCCTCCATGTGGGTGCTGGGAATTAAACCTGGGTGCTCTTACCCCTGAGCCATCTCTCTAGCCCCTCACACATTATTTCAAAATCAGCTTCTACTGAGAAAATGTTAACACAAAACCATACTAATCTAGCAATAATCATTGGCAATGAACACAAAATGCACCTGACTTCCTTTCTTCCCTCTTCCCCACTCTCCCCTTCAGTCCTTCCTTCTTTTCTTCTTTCCTTTCTTTCCCCCATCTTCCCTGACGCCCCCCCCCCAATCTCTTTTTCTTTCTGAGACAGGTCATATGTATTCCAGTCTGGCCTCCAACTCCGTATATAGTCCTTAATCTTGATTCCTGATCCACCTCCCAAGTGCTGAATTATGGCAACCACCACCATGCCTGGGTTATGTGGTTTTCATAGTCAGACCCTGAACACTGCATGTTAGGCAAGCACTCAGCTGGCTGAGCTATATTCCCACCCCTACCTCACAGTTTTATATTAATCATTAAGATGGGGAATTTGAAAATTCAGATTCAACTATACCTAAATTATATTATTAAACAGACAGTATTAGAAACTCATGCCATATAGTTAGCAAGTTTTTTCACAACACATCATGAAAATTTGGTAACACATTAAGGAACTTCTCATTCTGACGATTAGTGTGTTCCTTTGGCTTGGCTTTCTGGTACTTTCCATATGGTGAGATTTCAGTGATGATTTCTGTTTGAACTGTACAATGAGATGATGATATACAGTGATAGAGGACTGCCTAAAAGACATGATGGAACAGGCATTCAGGTGGAGAAAGGTGAGTCAGGGGCAGCTACTTGGCATTGTGTCAAGGAGATAAATCCTGCTACACACAGTGAAACACAGTCGGTTTACCAAGTTTATTACAAATCCACCTGGTCAAATATATTTAATGATTTGGATGTACCTTTTTTCACATGTCTTTATCTTAGGCAAATTAGATACTGAATATCAGGTATATGAAATGGTCTTTTAATCTAAGTTATCAGGAATGATAACTGAAGGCAACAGTTTAAGAATCTTCAAAAAATGTAAATAATTCTTATTTTATCAACACTGTTCCTGTCAAGTCAAAGTTGTTAAAAGAAACATTGCAGGGGCTAGAGAGATGACTCAATGGTTAAGAACACTGGCTGCTCTTGCAGAGAACCTGGGTTTGGTTTCTAGCACCCACATGGTGGTTAACAACTGTCCATAACTTCAGTTCCAGGGCATCTAATGCCCTCTCCTGGCCTCCATGTGCACTGCATGACATGAGTGTACTTAGACACACACATCCAGGCAAAACACTCATACACATAAAATATAAATAAAATAAAAAAAAACACTTAATAAAAGAAACATCACAATTATTAATTGCAGAATTCAAAGTATGCACCTGGAACTGCACAAGCTGTTTTGCATGTAGAATAACAGAATGCTTTGAACAGTCTTGTCTCCAGTTTGCAAGAGAGGAAGAAGATGAGGCTCAGGGAGGGGGTTACTTCCCTAAGGTCATACTGCTAGAAAGGGCAGAAGTCTAAAGGGGATATAGGGCTCTTACATTCTCAAGCCAGTGCTCTTGGTGCCCATGCCTTACTTACTTTCTTTTTTATTCTCTCTCAAAAAAAATAATAAAAAGCCGTACTCAGGCATGGAAGCTGTATCCGAGAGCAAACTTCAGGAAGGATTTTAAACATTCTTTTTCTTTTTTTTGTTTTTTGTTTTGGTCTTTTTGAGACAGGGTTTCTCTGTACCCCCAGTTGGCCTAGAACTCACTATGTAGACCAGGCTGGACTCAGTTTCACAGAGCTCCACCTGCCTCTGCCTCCTGAGTGCTGGGACTAATGGTGTGTAACACCATGCCTGGCTTTAAACATTATTATTTATACCAGATATTTCCTAGATTTCTTATGTAAGTCAGAAAACTTAAAAACCAGTAAATTTGGGGGCAGGGCTGGAGAGATGACTTGGTGGTTAAGAGCTCTGACTGCTCTTATAGAGGACCTGGATTCAGTTCTCATCACCCTCATAGTGAATCTCAAAGGTTTGGTAACTCAAGTTCAGAGGATCTGCTTCCTTCTTCATGCCTCCATGGGTATTGCATGCACTTGGTACACTTTCATACACCCAGGCAAGACATACATATAAATAATCTGCATAAATAAAAATAAATAATTTACTTTAAATCTCAAGAACAGAATTTTTCTCCTGAGAAAAAAAGGAAAAATAATGCCTCTTTGACATTGATAAAAAGACGGTGGTAACATATATGATCAGGTTTTTTTTTTTTTACTTGAATGGTAACTGAGGTTTAATTCTGTAATTGATAATTAAGTATTAAAATGGTTTTATTGAGAATAAGGCTATTCTCATGGATCAAGATTTACTATTCTCCTTTTATCCTTGGGGTTTGTAGTTACTGAAGTTATAAGATTTCAATTAAAATGGAATACTCCACAAAAGAAGTGTGAGAAAAGAGCAAATTATGAAACAAGGATTAAACGTGTAAATACTTAAACACTTCTTTTAACCACATATGAGATCAAATAAGTTATGGCAGGGAGCTCCTTCTAGTTTGAGCAACCAAACAGTGAATAGTGTGTCTACATTCATTATATTGCAAATATTATTAAGGAACAGAACTCAAAAAATAAAACATTCTGCCACTAATGTTTAATAGCCTAATCTCCCGTGTGTCTCTGGTCCTGTTCTGTTTACAGAGATGTCACTACATGCATATACATCTGTATTCACACACATCTGATGGCACACACACTCACATGCTCATACACACACATGCCCACACATCTGCATTCATGAATGCACACAATACTTTACTTTGGAAAGGTATATCCATTAAAAATAATTCATGAAGGTTTCATATTAATTTTTATAATCCTATAGACTACATGATTTAGAATTTGTGGTATTTGTCAACTCAGCAGATGAAGAAATTAAAAATGAAAAAATCTTCATATAAAATGGACATCTTGTCTTATTAGATTTTTCCAGTAACAACTGCAATATAATGATATTTTATAAAGATAACTCAGGAATGGGAGGGATAAATGATATCAACCCATTTTCTGTTATCTAATGACTTCTAGAACAGGTAGAACGGGTAAGAAATTTGTTTATATGAAGAAAAAGGATAATTTTATTCTCTAGTTTGAGAAAGCTCTGAGAGAGGAAAAAAGAGACAAAAGCAGATTGCAGCATTAGACACTGGGCTGGACGAAGAGAAAATATAGGGAGGGGTTTGCTTAAATACTCAGACGTGGGCTGAGCTCTTTTTGAACACTATAACTAAAAAATTCCAGGGGTCCATGACACAAATAAAAAGAAATTCAGCATGATTAAGACCCATTTGTTGTTCACAAATTTGAGTAAAGATGATTTGCTGTCCACATTTTCCTAAACACATTGTAAGGGTCAAAGATGCCCGAGGACTATGGGATGAACAGCCCAAGTAGCAGCTGAACTACACAAATCATGGTATTCTCTCGGAAGTTCATAGCAAAACTATGGTGTATTAAGAAATCTGAGACATCTACTACTAGCAATATGCATTGAACTTTCTTTAAGCAGAACTTCTGAAAATTATGTAGTCATGGATTCTCTAAATTTCTAC